ATCGACAAAAAACCGAGTATACCGTTGTTCACGATTTTTCGTCCTCTTTCCAAAGAGATCTATGATGATACATAAAAAACGAAATTTTTTTCGAAAAAATCTCACTTCATTTTCTTTGTTGAAAAATTAAGGTCTATTTTTTTATAGAAAAAAATAATATATATATATATATATATATATATATATATATATATATATATATATATATATATATATATATATATATATATAAACATAGATTCATATTCGGGTAAACAAATAACTATGTTTCAGTTCAGATTCACATTGTGAACCTGTTCAGATTCACATTGTGAACTTTCTCAGATTCATAGTGTGCATAATAGTAAGTCAGATTCACAGTGTGAATTTGAACTGATCGAGCATTTTAACATTGTGAATGTTAAATTTTGAAAAATATAAAGTTTAGATTCACAGTGTGAATCTACACTGATCGTCGTTTTTTTTTTTTTGAACTTTCTCAAATTCATAGTGTGCATAATAATAAGACAGATTTAGGGGTTGTTTGGCAAGATCTGAATTTTTAAGATCTGAATTTTTAAGAGGTCTGGATTTTTAAGAGGGTCTGAATTTTTAAGACCTGAATTTTTAACAAGCTGTTTGGTTGTAACCTCTAAATTGCTGTACTAAATTATAAAACGACCATTTTACCCTTCTATATTCTTTTCTGCTGAATACAAAGTTTTTATTTATAAAATAATTGAATCTAACTTCTTGAACAATTAATAAAAATATGTATAAACACCTTACAAAATCAAAATTAAAACACAAATCCAAATGTAAAAGGTTAAAACTTCACATTTTACCAACAATTAATCAACAAACCAATATTAAAATTAAAGAATTTATTTATTTTTCATACATAATGAGCAACTTTTTTTTATAAAATTGTCTTATCTAACATCATCTTTCAGTAACATGAAAAAAAAATCAAAAACATGAGAAGGATTACAAATGTTCCATTTTGTTTACAACATTAGAACATCAGCTTTCATTGATCCTTCATGCTGCAAGAAAATAACATCTATGGTGGCTTTAATGGAGGATTCTAGTTGGCAATAGGTGGTGCTAGAATGCCACCATTTTTAGACCTGCAACCAAGAACATAAATTCTTTCAAATTCAATAACTAAATTACAAGTGATCATATCATCACATAAATTCTTTCAAATTCACTTTCAAACACCACCACCAAATCCCCTATGTCTTGAAACCAAATCTACTTCCTGCACACTTAAGAAACATCTATCCATCAGATGAAATTAGCACATAATTCCATCAGAACATCATCCATATCAGCAAGAAATCATCCAGTATGAATGTAACATCCCAAAAATACGATCCAAAAATTTTTGTTTAATAATTACTGAAAACATCATGTCAATATCATAAAATAAACCCATACATCAATATCTCAAAACCATAGCAAAGTATCATGAGAAAACTGTATCAAGACCGTATCAAATCACATCTATGAAAAACTAAAACAACTCCCAGGACAAACTGAAGCTGTGGTGTGTGCGATGCCATCAACCCGAGCCCTTCCCTTTACTTGCGGAAGTACCTGAAACCAAAACTGAAACTGTAAGAACAAAGCTTAGTGAGCTCCCCCAAACTACCACATACCATACAATAACATATAACACATACTAGGCCTTGCCCACTGCATCGGATCGAAGTTCGGAAACTGCATCAGACCGAAGTTTGGAAGTAACCAGGGCCTTGCCCTCTGCATCGGACCATAGTCCGGGACTAACTGCATCGGACCGAAGTCCGGAACTGACTGGGATCTTGTCCCCTGCATCAGACCAAAGTCCGGAACTAACTGCATCAGACCGAAGTCCGGAAACTATCTAAGCATAACATAACATAGCATAAACATATCAATTAGCATGAACACATAAATTTGCATACTACATCGGGTCGTAGCCCGGAATACATAACACATAAAACACTGTATGAGCCACGAAGGCATCAAACATTCTAACTACTGTATTGGATCGAGGTCTGGAAACTACTACTAATTAAAAGGGCCGACATTGTGGCCTTAGACCTGTTCCTACTGGGAGGAAACTCACCTCGTGATGCTAACTGTTAAACTCCTGAATGAGAAATCCCTGACTGCTGCTCCGGCTGCTTCCCAACTATAATGGGAAATAAATACTAAATCAGAATAGGGATTCCTCTATGGGTAAAATGACCATTTTACCCCTACTATGGTATGGGACACAACATGGCCCAAAACCTTAATTCCTTCTAAGTCAATCTATGGCCCTACTATAGGCCCACTAATGGCCTAATTTGCTATGTTGGGCCTAGAACCCTTTTATTGGGCCTTACTCAAGCCCAATACTAAATCCTTGGTCCTTAGCAACTGAATTCTGATGGTCCATAAAGGCCCAAGTACCCTAAGCGTGAAACCCATCCTACACCGAGGCCCAACACTCGAAGCCCAAACTTGTAGCGTAAGTGGGGCGTACACCAAGGTACGCTGAGCGTACTGGCTGCTGGCTTGTACGCGGCGCGTACTTCCTTGTACGCCCAATGTACAACTCTGTTAAGCCAACATCTCATTAAGTGCTTAATAATCCGATCCAGAAGCTACAAATCCAGATCCTAAGCTTATTCCATGACTTAAGCCATAAAGTTGCTTACTTGATGGCTTATAAGTCTCATAAAGGCTCAAACTTCCACAAATAACATTCTACTTCCATAAAACCAACTAGATCTCATGCATGGTTCCATATAAGCCACAAAGATCGAAACTTTACTGCTATGGGGACACTTGAGCTTCAAGGATAGCAATCCCAAGCTCCAAAAATGAAGTTTCAAGATAAAGGTCCTTCCTTTGGACCTAAAAGGTCCAAACTTCCAAAAAAAAACTCCTAGATCTAAACTTACAAGAGGAAAGTTGGAAGCTTTATACCTCTTTGGAATGCCAAAAGAAAGGATGATACCAGATCTATGAGCTCAAGGTGCTCAAGTTCTTCTTCCACTTATCTTCTTCTCCTTCTTCACAAAAACAAGCTCAAAGATTAAACGCACACAATCAAGGAGCAAAGGGGGACGAACTAGGGTTTCTCTAGGGTGAATGATAAGTGATGAGGCCAAATAGGAGGCTATAATGGGGTTTAAATACGCCTCAACCCCTAAAATAAGGGTTTGCCACCTGGTCGCGTACGTTGGGCGTACCATAAGGTACGCTGCGCATACGCTCAGCCTCCCCGTGTTTCATTTAAGCAGTACGCCCAGCGTACAAGGGGGTTACACCCCTCGTACGGCTTATGGGCTGCTTACACTTCGGCCCAAAATAAAGGTCCACTCACAATAATAATTCAATTATGGCCCAAAATAAATCTGAAGAATTAAATAACTTTTATACCTCGGAAACGATCGTTACAATCAACCCATATCAGCAAGAAATCGTCCAATATCAACAGGTATACAAGTTCATAATTGTTTCAAGTATCAAAATTTCAAAATAGATCACATTTCAAGTATAACCCACATTGAACATTCAAGAAAGAACAAATTCAACTCTTATTATCGAGTTTTAGGGCAAAGAGGAAGAAATCTCACCTGCAACTGGAGGGGTTTTCGATGGCAAAGTCATTGGTGGATGGAGCAACCCGTTATCTCAGAGAAGAAGAGAGCTAGTCTAGGGGATGGTGGCAGCGATCGAAGAGAGACGTTGTAGAGAAGTATAGAGTCAATTATGCACAGAGCTTGAGAGGAGAGAGAAAGAACCGATGGGCGATGGGATGGAGGTGTTGATTGTCATCGGAGATGGCGTCGCAACCAAAGGCGTTGGCCGACTAATGACGATGCAAGGAGGTGTTGGAGGGTAGCGACGTCCGAAAAAGGGGTTGTGACTGGCGTCGGAAGGAGAGGCGATTGTTGGAGGCGGGGAAGAGATGAATGAGTGTGGGAGGGCACGAGGATAAGCGCTTTTTTTTTTTTTCAGATGCCCTTTTAGATCTTACCGAATCAGATGCATTTTTAATTTTCAGATCGTTTTTTAAGAGCTAAATAAACAATCTGAATGTTTAAGATTCAGACATAGCCTCTTTTAAGAGGCATTAAGTGGTAAACAAATAGGCCCTTACAATGTAAATATGAACTGATCGAGTATTTTCACATTGTGGATCTTGAAAATTGAAATATTTACAAGTTAGATTCACAGTGTGAATCTACATAGTTCGAAGGTTTTATTTATTTTATTTATTTATTTTATTTATTTATTTTATCGATGTTTATGTTGTGCAAAAAATTAATATTTTTGGTATAGTTAGTTTTTTTAATAAAAATAAACTTAAATATTGAAAAAACTAGCAAAATGAAGTGAGTTTTTTTTCGAAAAAAGTTCGTTTTTTATATATTAATATGGATCTCTATGGAAAGATGACGGAAAATCGAAAACAACGATATATTCGTTTATTTATTTATTTATTTATTTGATAAAAAATGTGATCTAAAAAAATTTTAAATGTAAAAAAAAGGTAGGTTTTTTGATAAATAGGTGAATTTTTTGATATAATCCAGTGTATGCGTTCAATATAAAAATGTACATCCATTTCTTTGTCCGTTGATCATTATGATTTCCGACGCTCACAATTGATTCTTTGGTTCCTTGTTAATTATTGTTCTCTATTGAACCTCACGCTATATATATATATATATATATATATATATATATATATATATATATATATATATATATATATATATATATATATATATATATATATATATATATTAGAAGAAATGTTCAAAGATAATTCTAAGAAAGAAAAAGCAATAAACAAATGGACTATATAAATGCACAAAATTGTCATTTTTAGCAAAATTAACATGTTTAAAACCCAAATGGCGATTGTGATTGATCGATCATTACACTGTGGGACTACACATGAAAAGAAAGGCAATAAATAAATGAACAAAATTGATGTGCCACATTATGAAAAAAGGCTCGTTTATTTATTTATTTTTTTTGTTGAATATTCACAAAGCCCTAGTGCCACTTTTTCCATTGGTCAGTTGCTGAGTAAGGCTTGTCGTGGCATCTTAGATTATACTACCAGAAATTATCTTATATAAAGACCAAGGGAGCTAAGGTTGAGTAATCAAATAATACGCTTGTCATCGAATGGCCCTTCAACTGTATCAAGTTTTTTCCCAAACTTTCTTTTCAGTATACAAATCAAAGCAAAAGCTCCCACAAATTATTATAAAGCCAAATAGCAGATTTTATCCTTCAATAAACTGTACGAACAAGAACAATGGTTCACATGAGAATATTCCCTTACCAGTTTACCAGCCAACTATTTGGACTCATAACTTTATCGAGGCCTTAGATGTCAATTTCCCGGTAATTCGTTTATGTATTTTTCTTTTCATCTTAAGCTTATGACAATACAAATAGTGGGAATATGTGTAAACCTGATGTTTAACAGTTTCATAAACTTTTGATGAATGCACACAGATCAACTCAATGGTGGAGATGAAGGAGCTAGAGAAGAAAGGAATGGAATTGAATTTTGATTTCGATAATGGTGATTTAAGTATCTTGCAATTGCTTGAACAAATAGATGATATCGAAAGGTTGGGCCTTGACTATCGGTTTCAAAATGATATAAGGAGAGCACTAAATATTATCGCATCAGTAAATGAAAATAACATTGGACATGAAGAAAAAGAAGGTAGTCTTCATGCAGCGTCTCTTAGGTTCAGGCTTCTTAGGAAGCATGGTTATAATGTGTCTCAAGGTACTTCTAAATTTTCCTGAATAAACATCACCGATAAATCGATTACTCTTTATTAATATGAAAATTAACTTATTCTCTATATATTTCAATTTCTCATGATTAACATTCAATTTCAATTGCACACAGATTTTCTTTTAAGATTCAAGGATAGTCATGGTGGCTTCATGCGGTGTCTAATGACAGATGTCAAGGGATTGCTAAGTCTATATGAAGCTTCATATCTTTCTTTTGAGTACGAAAGCGATTTGCATGAGGCCAAGTTATTTGCAACGAAACATTTGCTGAAACTTAAGTGTCAAGCATTTGAAGCTCGTGAAGACATAAATCATGCATTGGAACTCCCCTTATATCGTACGATGCTTAGATTACAAGCAAGGTGGTACATCGATGCATACAGTAAACGAAAAGATGCAAACATGCTTCTGTTAGAGCTTGCAACATCGGATTACAACATGGTTCAATCGGAATTCAAGAAAGAGCTTCAAGAAGTATCAAAGTATACATAACTCGCCTTTTATCAGTTCTCGATAAACAAATTAACTGATAGTATGTTAATCTATAGTGACTGACCTTTCTCTCTATATATCAAACAGATGGTGGAAAAATATAGGCCTAGCAAGCAAGCTAAGCTTCGTTAGGGATCGACTCGTGGAATGCTTCTTTTGGTCAGTTGGAGTGATATTTGAGCCTCAATATAAATCTTGCCGTGTAGAGCTTACAAAAGTTTGTACGTTAATTACTGTCATTGATGACATCTACGATGTTTATGGTTCTCTTGATGAACTCGTGATGTTCACAGATGCTGTCAAGAGGTATGCAATTTTTAAGCACAAATCTTATTACTCATGTCTTGTTTAATATCCATACGTAGCTAACTTATATTTTTCATGGGGAAATGTTGATCATGTTATTTTAGGTGGGACATTAATGCAGTGAAACATATGCCCGAGTACTTACAACTATGCTTTCGCACTCTTTACAACACCATTATTGAAATAGGTTCTAAGACCTCGATTGCACAAGGCGAAGACATCATACCAGTCCTAGTGAAAGTGGTTAGTATCACCATTAGGAATTCCAACTTCAATTCCTTAACGAAATACTTAGATATTGACATCTTTTTATTGTTGGATTGCAGTGGGGAGAATTACTTGAAGCATTTTTGTTGGAAGCAAAGTGGACTCATAACAAATACATTCCAACACTTCAAGAATATATGGATAATGCATGGCGATCAGTCTCGGGAGTGGTTATACTTACTCATGGTTACTTTTTAATAAATAAAGAATTCAAGAAAGATATAGTTGAGAATATGGAGAAATATAACGATCTTTTGAAATGGTCATCAATTGTTTTTAGACTTTGCAATGATTTGGGTACTTCATCGGTATGTTTTATTTTTCAACGAATTCAGAAAACCTTTAACTTATTGTTCTTTTTTTTTTCTTTCTTTTTTCTAAGTTTTGTATTTCTTTTGGCATATATAGGATGAGATAGCTAGAGGGAAAACTGCAAATGCAATATCATGTTACATGCATGAGAGTGGTGTGTGTGAGAAAGTTGCCCGTACATATATAAAAACTTTAATCGACCAAGCATGGAGGGAAATGATCAAAGCCCGAGTGGCTTGTTCTCAAGAGTTAACAGATCCTTTCATTGATATGGCCATTAATCTCTCTCGAATTTCACATTGTGTATACCAACACGGAGATGGACATGGAGCTCCCGATGCTCGAGCCAAAGAGCGAGTCTTATATGTGATTCTTGACTCCATTCCAATTAAGGATAATTAGGAGTTTTCTACAAAACTATAGTTTGTTTTTTTTTCTTTTAAATTTTATTTATTTATTATTATTTTTTATCGCAAAAGTGGTGCTGTTTTGATAACCTTATGTACAAACGGGGTTATTTCAACAATTAGGGTATATATTTTCTTTGCTTGTTTAAAAGTTGCATGAATAGTCCTTATATGTTAGGGTTTCCACCCTTATCTTATATAACAACTTATAATTTTTTTTTAAACTATTGTTTTTTTAAATAATTCTCATATCCTCAATATATTTAAGCAAAATTTCGTATATACTTTTGCTAAACATCTAAATATCATATTTGCACGACCTAAACTCTAAATATCGTATTTACATTTCTTAATCTTTTTTAATATCAAATATACCCAAATCTATTTTTTTTATAACTTTTATTGATTTATAATTCGTTTTCATAATATTAAATCATTATAATTAAAAAAATACATTTGAAATTGACAATAATGCTCTTAGTTGAAAAATCCTATACAATAGACACATTCATCACTATGAATGTTCTTGAATCTCCTGTATTGAGTAACATCTTGAAAACTTGTCTAGAATTACTGGAATCCCTTTCAGTTTCACCAACAATAGTCCCTGCCACCACAAAAGACTCCATGGAAACTGACCTTATTGATGTCATTACAGATTCATACTCTATTTTTGAATCTTCAATATTATCAAAAACGTCTCACTCCGAGACACGATTCCCATCCTAATCACCATGGTTCTCTAAATTATATATATTGATATTTCAATTTGATTCAGTTCCATGCAAAAAGCTTCTATCATTCGGACTCTAACCTACACCTAAGGGATAATTTGTATGTGATCTTAACCAACATGACAAAGAGGGCAATCTGAATGCAATCTTAACCAGGTATCAATATAAGGGATATGAAATGCATGGTTATATCTCAGAACTAATTGTAAAATCTCATCATCTTCAAACTCACTCAAACAAATCGAACATGTAGTTCCATAAATCAAGTTGTAGCCTTTATTAAACTTTATTATAGTAATCGAATTGATCACATATGGTTGAAGGCTAACGTTGGTGTGTACCAGATGGGATAATCAACTTGAAACCCTGCATGATCTTCATTAGAAAAATCTTCTGCTTTGCTGTAGACTTTTAGGTGGAGGACTTTCGAAAACGTCTACAACATCTTACCATGATAAGGTAATAGATGATGACGAGAAAAGAACTTCCAAGCAAGGCCACAATGATGATAACGTAACATGATATGTTGGTTATGGTGGTATGTAGAGGTAGTTGTGGTAGTTTCGATGACCAAAATATTTCTAGGTAACTACATGTGTAATGGTGTATTGGAGCATAATCAGAATGGGTTGACGTTTGGTTGGAATCTTATTTCTCATTTTAATTTTTGAGATTTACTCATTCCCCCTCCTAAACTATAACATCTAGCTAATAACTAACTACTAAGTAGTTAGTTATCTAAGTTCTAGCTTCTTCCCTCTTCTCTTCCTATAAATCTCGAACACACTCCTCTTCATTTTCTTCTTCAATTTTCCAGCAAACTCTCCATAGAAAACCTCTCAATCTTCATCATATTTCAACCACGTAAACTTCCTTCCAAACCCATCACAACCGTGAGCAAAAAGAAGTTGATTTCCCTTGGTTTTTCAGCCACCATTTCACCTGTTTTCAACTTCCTTTTACTTGATATTTTTACCTCCAAATATCCCTGGAAGTAAGTTGTTATGCTACACTAAAATGAGGACTCAAAACAGTGGCTAAACCACTTTTTTCTTACCCTTTTTGCTAGGAATTGTTGTGACAGCAACAAAGCCAAAACAGTGACTGTTTTTTAGCATCAAACCAACACCTAAAAGTCTTTCATTTTACTGCCCATTTTCGAGATTCATAGTAGCCCATATGTTGCTACTTTCAAGCGCGTAAAACCTAGGAGAAAGTTACATTTCATTTCTCAAAAAGCTTGTGTTTTCCACCACTTTTTGGCAACATACTTTAGATCCAAGTAAAATCTAGGTATATTCTTGATTTTTACTTTTTCCTTTTATCATAAAGTCCAGTGGTTTAAAGTGATTTAAGACATGATAAAAGTATAACTTAGATGTAAATTTTTGTCTTTATGTGTTAAGACATCCAAAAGAATACTCAAATCACGAGCTTGAGTGGAACCGGAAACCGCATGAATCGTTCTCAAACCGAATAACTTTACGCAACAAAAGTGAGTTTTCTACGGCCCCTCTTTTATGTTTTACAAGTTTTACGGGAGAATACATACTAAATGATGTCTAGTTGCATGATTTATAGGCTTAGTTAGTTGAAAATACAACTTATGTCACTAAATATTTCTAAGCTTAAAATTCAGTAATTTATTGAAAAATTATGGTCTATTCAAGGACTGCTTTACCCTTCTTAAACCTTATGGTTTTCAAAACTATACAATATAAAAATATTTCAAATCGAAACATTTTCAAGGACTACTCGAACGCGTTCATATGATTTTTTTACAATTTATAATGATTTTTATAGAACTGCCTATCATTTCAGAACATTTTGAACGAGTCTGTAAAAACAAACATTTTCATCCTGCTTAGGATCTACATAAAGTCAGGGTAAAAATCATGGACAAAGTAGACTAAATTCCTAAGCTTTAAAAGTTTATAGATCCTAATTCTGACTTATGATGATTTTTCTATAATTTTTCTAAAAACAGGGACAAAATGAACATTTTGATTAACCGTGTTGTTTAGTCTTTCAAATACATACACGAAGATTTGTTGTAGTTAAGAGAAACACAATTTATGATATTGTTTAATTCAAAAACTTTAAGTTCACAAAAGTGTTATTTATAACAAGTGTTTATAATATGATCATGTTGAAAGTCTTATGACATAAAATGATTTGAAATATTTTGGTTTTAGTCACTCATACTCGGGGTGTTGTATAAACTTTGTGTGGTCACTTACAGTCAGAGTACTGTCGTCTAAACATTTATGTGGTCTCTTACAATCGGAGTACTATCTAAAGATTTGTGTGGTCACTTACAATCAGAGTACTTTCTAAACATTTGTTATGGTCACTTACAGTCGTAGTATTGTCTAAACATATACATGGTCACTTTCAGCCGACGTGTTGTTTAAACTCGTATAGGGAGACATACGATCGTTGTCATGTTAGAGCACTGGTAGCTTTACATTATTAAGCGTTACAACCAAAAGTTTTCAGACACAAACAATTGGAAATTATAACAAAATCTTGGATACAAGTATACTAATACAAATTAGGATGAGGTTGTATGTAGTTTAAATAATGTTTGTAGATTGTTAAACCGATTGGTAGTGTTTCTTTACATGCACACTAAATATTTTGCTTCACAAAAATATGTAAATATTTACTTTTATCATAAGTATATTAACATGGATACTAGTATCGGATTTCAAGTATTGGGTTTCACATGAAGCATAACAGTAACATTGTTGACCATGTTTTTCACAACTTATTTTGTTAAACATTCTACGTTTTATAAAGGTTTCTTTTTATAAAACTCACAGAGTCAAAACCTTTGGAACTCACCAACAATTTGTGTTGACGTATTTTAAAAATGTGTATTCTCAGGTGACTAAGAAGTCGGAGGTGGGACATCGGTTCTAATGAAATTATAGTTCCTTTCTTTTGGGAATAAACTTGACTTGGTTTAATTTACCGTTGTGTGTTTAAATTTTGAAGATGTGATTTCAATTCCAAAACTTAAAGGTCTATAATATATTGATTCAAATATGTTTAGTGTTCGATATATGTGGTTGATTGTGATCAAATTGTAAAACATTGCGACCCCAACATTTTCCATCGTCGGTCGGGGTGTGACATATTGGTATTAGAGCTAACGACTATAGAGAACTTAATATTTTCTTTTTAAGAAAGGTACAACCATAGTCCAGGGATTACTCTAGTAGGTCTAGGAATATCCTTACCCTATAACACTTAAAAGATAAAAATATAATAAAGTTAAACACAAGGATTTAGATCAAATACTCAATTAGGTTTCATAAAACATAGGTCATATTGTAACTAAACCTAGTTGCGTGCCTAAGTTTTATTTTGGTCGGGCCTCATGCATTATCCAACTTAAGCGAAGTTGTTGATAATCTAAAATCTTGGCGTTTTAAGAAACATAAAGTATGATCAAAAGTTAATAAAATTCAATAGAATATTCTATTATTTATAAGTGTAACTTTTTGTGTAACATATTTCAGATACTAAAAAATTTGGGCTTACGTGGTTTAGACCAAAACCCTAATAATTAGGGTTTATGCACTATTTAAATACCATTATGGTCCCAATACATTTCCCTTTACTAGCCTTCATCTCCAGATCGACCCTCTTTGCAAACCCTAGTTCATTTTTAGGCATTTTGAGCTGTTTGGAGTGATTGTATGCTTCCTTGGTTCTGAAGAAGGACCTTCAAGGAGTAATATTTTATCTCAAGACTTTGGATCCAACATCTCCTCTTCATTGGGCACCATTTGAAGGTATAAAGCACCAAACTTGGTTTATGTTTCATTAGATCATGGCTAAGCCTTGATTTTTCATAGTATTATCCCAAATTCAAGTGCTTAATTGGTGAGTAGAAGGTACTCCAAAGCCTATAAGGTGTCCTTTCAGATGTTTTAAGTCATCTCAAGTCATAAAGATGCAAGCTTAAATCTTGATTTATCCCCATCCATGAGTTACGATGTAGAAAAAGGATGAAGTAAGCTAGGATTTTAGTGTTAGGCCTCTTGTAGCCAATCAAAGGCATAAAGTTTGTAAATTTATGACCTTAGGGGTCTTAGTAGGTTCAGATCTAAGTTTTCTTCATTATCTCTTAAGGCTTTAAGACATTTTTCATGGGTTGCGTGAGAGGTGTGTACGCCGTGTGTAACTCCTTATATGTCGCACATATTGCATCCCAGTCACGATCCTTCCACTTTGGCCGAGTACGTTGCGCGTACTAGTTGGTACGCCGAGCGTACAACGTCATCTAACTTGGGGCGCGTTTTGGGCCTTAATCATGAGGTTTAGTAGTTGGGTTGAACCATGAACTTTCTTGCTGTTGGGCCACTTCAGACTATGTACTCATTTTGGATCTTGGATGATCCTTGGGTTTGGGCCTTGGATTTTATTGAGCTTTAAAGACTAGCTTGGCCCATTTTTATCTTGGACATTAGGCAAGTGTTTTTGGTTTTTAGTTTAGTAGATGTCTCAATTGTTAATTAGGACTCTATTTTTTTAGTTAGCACTAGGATTTCTCCAGTCCAACAGCCCGAGCGTTTATCTAGGATTTTTAGCAGTTGAGGTGAGTTTCCTCACTAGATCCATGGTTTAAAGGCACTAATGTTGGCCCATTGTTTGTTGTGTGGAACTTTGGATGCCTTATGATGATTATATGGAAGACCAGGATCTAACCCTTAGCATTTGTATGAAAGACTAGGAATTGGCCCGTGGTAGTTAATTATATCAAATACTAGGACCTAGCCCCTAGCATTCTTATGAAAGACCGAGATTTGGCCCTCGGCACTAAACAGAGAGACTATGATTTGGCCTATAGAATTTAGTTTCTTTCATGTGTGGTATTTGGTACTTAGGGAAATCACTAATCATTATGTTAACATTTTTTGTTTATGGTTTCAAATACTTCCAGTTCCAAAGGGAAGGGCCCAACGTGATAACACAACATTCTCCCCTCATGGTTTTTACATTTGAAATAATTGTACTCTAATGATTTAAAACTATGATTTGTATGGATTCCAAACAATTAATGAATAATTTGAATGACCTTTAAATGAAAAGGTTTCTATCCTAGTGTAAAGGTGGGGGCACCTGATCCCATGTCGGCTTAGAATGAGAACTAAACATTCCTTATAAAGGGTGTGGATATCTTCCCAATCATAATGCATTTTAAAACTGTGAGGGAAGCAAATCCTATAAGAATTCTACAGTTAAGCATGCCCGGGCAAGACTAATTCAGGGATAGGTGACCCCTTGGGAATTTTTCGTCCCAGGAGCCTAAAGCGGATAATATTATGATACGTGTGTGGATGTTACAAATGGTATTAGAGCTTGGGCACGAGTCGATGTGTGTGGATGTGTTCCCTATAATAACACGTTTTAAAGTCGTGAAGGTAGCAGATCCCATAAGAACTCTACAGTTAATCATACTCGAGAGAGAGCAATTTAGGGATGGGTGAACCCATGGGTAGTTTTCGTGTCGGAAGCCCAAAGTGGACAATTTTGTGATACGTGCCAGGGGCGGATGTTACAAACGGTATTAGAGAAAGGGCACAGGTTGATGTGTTCGACGGGGATGTCGAACACTATAATGGGGTGTGAAAGTTTGTTGCAACTGATCCCACGTCAGCTAGGAAGGAGAACTAAACATGCCTTATAAGGGGTGTGGATACAGTCTCTATCATAACGCGTTTTAAAGCCGGGAGGGCAACAGATCCCAAAAGAACTCTGTAGTTAAGTGTGCCCGGGCGAGAACAGTTCAGGGATGGGTGATTCCCAAGGAAGTTTTCGTGCTGGGAGCCCAAAGCGGAGAATATTGTGATACGTGCAACAGGAGGATTTTACAAAATGTTGTGACGTAACAATTCTCTTTGTGTCGTGGCGATGGTTTCCACCCAAATCCACCTCACCTTCAAACAACCATTACTTCCTCATTTCAACTTTGTTTTCAGCGAGCTTTATATTCACAGAAAGGTATTGAAGAGAGACATACTTTTGTCTATTTAATTATGGCTTAACAAATGTCGAACTAAAAACCATAATCCATGCAAGAAGTCTGAAACATTATTTTTCCATTTTACCCTTTGACTTTAAAACACAACCCAAGGGCTTAGGTGACATAACCATTATTATCAATATCTAATAAAGTCTAAACCTCATTCCCTTGACGCCCAAGGCCTTTACTTGATCCTTTTATTGTCTACAATCTCAAAATAAAAAACTTCTCGAAATAGGATGTTACACGTTTATACAAAAAAATTAATACTGACACGTATTTTAGAAAAATATATACAAAAATGTTTTTAGAAAAAATATATATAAACAAACACCTATTTATGTGCATATAAATTAATATATATATATATATATATATATATATATATATATATACACACACACACACACACATACATACATACAAGTTTACTGTGAAAAAGGTGTTTATATAAAAAAATTTATTAAAACGTGTTTGTATACATCTGTTTTATAAATATGTGTTTTTATATAAACGCATTTATAATAAAATAGGTGTTTGTATACATTTTTATAAAATACTTGTTTGTATATATTTCTTTTATAAAAATGGATTTTTATATATTTATGTACTTAATAAATTCATATTTTTAGGTATTTCGTATAGAATTTTTTTAAAAAGTTTTTATATAGAATAAATAAGGTCTTTTATGTGAAAAAAATATATTTTTCTATAAATATAATTTTATAAAGAAAAAAACATATTTGAAGCAAATTTTGAGAAAAAAAGATGTATAAAAACTAACTTTAAAATAAATTCATAACAAAATTCTGAAATTGGACAAAAAATATATTTGGACCAAATGTTTAATAAAATTTAAAATCTATATCAAAACTGTAAATTTTGGATCAAACTTCAAATAAAATTTGAAATCTATATGAAAATTACAATTTTTGAAAGTGACCTATTGACCAAATAAATGGTCAAAATAAATACAATTATGGTTTTTGCGGATTTAATTGTATAAAGAAATAAATAAAAATTAAATCGGTTATGAGTTAAATATGTTATAACTTTTATACAGTTTTCCCAATCATTTAAGAAAGAAGTGTACAAAAGAAAATTCTTTAACACATGCAAAAATTTAAATGCACAAAATTGTCATTTTTTTTTTGCAAAATTAACATGTTTAAAACCCAAATTGTCCTTGTGATCGACCGTCCATTACACAGTGGGACTATACATGATAAGAAAGGCAATAATTAAATGCACAAAATTGATGTATTATGCAAAATGACACATTTCTTTAAGAATATTATTCACAAAATCGTAGTGTCACATTTTCTGTTGGCAATCAGTTAGCTGAGTAACACTAGCTGGTCAAGGTATCTCAGATTATAATATTTATAAAGACGAAGGGAGCTAAAGTTGAGTATTCAAATACTCCACTTATTTCTCGAATGGATAATCAAATAGTCCAGTACGCTTGTCATCGAATGGCACTTCCACTCTATCCAGTTTTTTCTCAAACTTTCTTTTCAGTATACAAAGCAAAGCAAAAGCTCCGACAAATTATTGTAAAGCCAAATACCAGATATTATCCTTCAATAAAGTGTGCGGACAAGAACTATGGTTCTCATGAGAATATTTCCTTACCCATTTACCAACCAACTATTTGGACTCATAACTTTATCGAGGCCTTAGATGTCAATTTCCCGGTAATTCGTTTATGCTTTTTTTTTTTTCCAATTTATGCTTATAACAATTCAAATACTGGGAAAATATGTAATCGTGATGCTTAGTAATTTCATGATCTTTTGATGAATGCACACAGATCAACTCCAGGGAGGAGGTGAAGGAGGTAGAGAAGAAGGGAATGGAATTGAATTTTGATTACAAGAATGGTGGTTTAAGTATCTTTGCAATTGCTTGAACAAATAGATGATATCGAATGCTTGGGCCTTGACTATCGGTTTCAAAATGATATAAGGAGAGCACTAAATATTATTGCATCAATAAATGAAAATAACATTGGACATGAAGAAAAAGAACGTAGTCTCATGCGGTGTCTCTTAGATTGAGACTTCTTAGGAGACATGGTTATAATGTGTCTCCAGGTACTTCTAAATTTTACTAAATAAACACTATGCTTATCACGATAAATCGTATACTTTTTATTAATATGAAAATTAACTTATTCTCTAGTTAAGAAACAAAAGTTTATACGTTAATTACTGTCACAAGTTAATCATGACAATTGAAATGTATACGTTAATTACTGTCACAAAAGTTTATACGTTAGTTAAAACTCTTGTTTAGGAAGCAATGAAGATGGAAACTCTAGTTAAGAAACAAGATAAGATAAAATAAAATTTTTATTGCAACCAACACTAATGAGACTAAAAAAGACACAACTAAGGGTGAGTGTTTTGATTATATTATATACCTCATGTAAAAAAAAAAAGACCATAACATAAGTAATGATTAATCAATCAAGAAAGTTTGACCATATTAAGAATAAAAAATAATTGCAACTTATATTGTTATTGTCACAAGTTATCATATCACAGAAGGACCCCCGAAGAAAAAGAAAAAATCATGTTACTGGAATTATTTTTACTTGATAATAATACGAACATCAAAATACATAATGAAAAAGTTGAATAGAATCTATAACCTGATGAAACACAATATTGAGTTTCATATGGATCAATTGGTTTATTAATATCTGATGGTGTGACAATGTAATTTTTTAAAACAAAATTTTCATTTTTCAACAACCAAATTTATATAAAAATATTCTCAAAAGTATTCAATCATAGTTATCAAAACATAACATATGTCAAGATCACAAAATCAAATCCCTCCTCTAGTGTGTACGGGTCATGCCGACATCTTCTTACGGTCCTCGTTAGTACCTGAAACACATAACCCAACAACTGTAAGCATAATTGCTTAGTAACTTCCCCAAAATACCACATACAACACATACGCCACTCGAGGCTACAGTACGACCCTCCGATCGATGTGTCTCAGCGGGACCCTCCAGTCCCATAGCTTATTGGACCCTCCAGCCCGGTCTGAATCGTTGGACCCTCTGGTCCGGTCTGTATCGTTGGACCTTCCGGTCCGGCATATACAGTCATATAACATGAAAATATCACATAGCACATAGATTCACATAATCTCATACATAACACATAAGACCCTCCGGCTCACATAAATACCACTCTAGGTAATGTATAGTGAGAAGACTCACTCGGTAACTCGTAAACCTCAAAAATCTCGGACTCCGTGGGATAAGATCTAGCCTCCGCCTAATCATATGAAATAACACTCAAAATCAACACATTTCCCTAGGCTAGACCATTCCCTCTAATCACTCTCAGGAAGGTAAAAGACCATTTTACCCCTTACTTGGCTCAATTACACTAAAGTTGACCAAACCCTAAAAGTCAACAAAAGTCAACCCCTCGGGTTACGCTGCGCGTACCAAACGTGTACGATGGGCGTACTCGGAGCCTTCACAGAAGCGGGGTACGCAGCCTCTTACGTCGCGCGTACTGGGATTACGCCTAGCGTAGTGCCCAGTTTCCTTATCCATCTCATTCACGTCTTAATCGGTTAAGACTTGCATCCAAACTTCAGATCTGACTCCTCTAATGTGACTTAATCCATAAAGTTGAAACCTTTAAGCCTTTGCATGGCTGTAAAGGTCACTTTGTGCTCAAAACACCTTTCCTCTTTCCATAATGAGACTATAACTCATGCATGACACAAGATCCACGTCCAAGACTAGATTTTTATGAATCCTCAACACAATATACACTAGAAAAGGTCAGATTTAAGCTCATGGAGACTCTTTGCACACAAAGTCTCCAACTTTGAACCAAAAACCCTAAAAATGGTCCAAAAAGCAAAACTTATGAAGAACAAGGAAAGCTTTGAGCTTTTTACCATAGAAGGGATCTCCAACCACTGTAGAACTCGGATCTACACTTGTTCTTCAACTTCTAGCTCCAACAATGGCTCCTTATTCTCCTTCTTCACCTTGAAAAGATAACTTCAAGCTCAAAACACACACACACACACTAAAGCACGAATCTCAGCTCTCTAAGGACTCACTCAAGCGGATATAGTGGCTAGGGCAAAGGGCTACATGCTCCTTTTATAGTGCAAAAGCAAGAAATTAGGATTTACATCTGGGTTCGCTATGCCCAACGTAACCCCTGGGTACGCCCAGCGTACCCGGGCGAGTCCGCGTTCAGTTTAATCGCGTGAGTACGCGCGGCGTACACCTCAGTACACCCAACGTACTCACTAATTCACCATACAACTTTAAGAGACTAATTTGCCAACTCTACAAAATAAAAGGGGTCATAAAGATTACCTGGATTTCGGGCTATTACAATTCTCCCCCACTAGAACCAGACTTCGCCCTCGAAGTCTCATGCTGCGAACAACTCCGGATGCTGCTCCCGCATCTCTGACTTTGACTCCTAGGTCAGCTCGGATCCTCTCCGATGTTGTCACTGGACCTGAACCAGGGGCACTTCCTTGTTCCTTAGAACCTTGATCCTCCAATCCAAGATTGCGATCGATTTCTCAGCATAATTTATACTTGCATCCACCTGGATATCCTCTAAGGGTACCACTGCCGACTCATCGGCAATATACTTCCTCAGCTGCGACACGTGGAAGGTATCATGAATCTGGTCCAACTTCGCAGGTAGCTCCAAGCGATATGCTACCTTGCCCACCCTCATGATCACTCTAAACGGCCTAATATACCGGGATCCCAGCTTGCCCCTCTTCCTGAATTGGATCACTCATTTCCAAGGAGATACCTTCAGGAGCACGAAATGACCGACCTGGAACTCGAGTTCGGATTGTCGTCTATCCGCGTAACTCTTCTGGCGACTCTGAGCGGTCGATAACCTCTGTCTGACCTGTTGTATCTGCTTTGTCGTCTGAAGAACTATCTCTGTACTACCCATCACACGCTGCCCTACCTCGCCCCAGCAAATGGGGGTACGACACATCCTTCCATACAACAGCTCAAAAGGTAGCATACCAATGCTCGAGTGATGGCTGTTATTATAGGAAAACTCAGCCACGGGCAAATACATATCCCAAATCCCGACGAAATCCAATACACATGCCCGAAGCATGTCCTCGAGCGTCTGAATCGTCCGCTTGCTCTGCCGGTCGGTCTGTGGGTGGTATGCGGTACTAAAATGCAGTCTCGTATCCAATTCCTCATGAAATTCTTCCAAAATTTGGAAGTGAAACGCACCTCTCGATCTGAGACAATTGAGATCGGTACTCCATGCCGTGATACCACCCCCTTCACGTACAATTCTGCCAGCCTCTCCGAAGTAGAGCTCTCACTGATGGCAAGGAAATGAGCGCTCTTCGTCAACCTGTCCACAATCACCCAAATTGCATCGACACCCCTAACAGTCCTCGGCAATTTGGTGATAAAATCCATGGTAATCTGTTCCCACTTCCACTCGGGAATCTCTAACGGCTGTAACTTACCATGCGGGCGCTGGTGCTCGGCCTTAACCTTGCGACAGGTCAAGCACCTCTCTACGAACCATGCAACATCCCTTTTCATACAGGGCCACCAATACTCCTTCTTCAGGTCTAAATACATCTTAGTGGCCCCGGGGTGGATCGAGAACTTCGATCTATGCGCCTCCTCCATCAAGATGATACGCGTTCCGCCCACAAACGGTACCCAAACCCGACCCTGGAAGGTCATAAGTCCTCGACTATCGGTAACAAACTCTGATACCTGCCCGATCACTCGCTCTCTCTTGCGATTCTTCGGTCTTACGGCCTCCGCCTGGGCCCCTCGAATGGTGTCCCATACTGGAGTCATCACTGTCAATCTCATGTAAACATCTCGTATCGGGGTGCCCCTTCCCTTCGGCTCAGGGCATTGGCTACAACATTAGCCTTGCCCGGGTGGTATAGGATCTCACAGTCGTAATCCTTCACCGCATCCAGCCATCTCCTCCGGCGCATGTTCAGATTGGGCTGATCTATCAAATACTTCAAAATCTTGTGGTCCGTGTATTTCATACACTGAACCCCATACAAATAGTGCCGCCAGATCTTGAGGGCGAACACTACTACCCCCAATTCCAGATCGTGAGTGGGATACCTTGACTCATGAGGCTTTAGTTGTCTCGATGCATATGCTATCACATGCCCCCTCTACATAAGCACCGCTCCCAACCCTGATATCGATGCATCACAATAGACCACGAAATCCTCCATCCCCTCCGGAAGGGCCAACACCGGGGCTTCACATAATCTTTGGCGAAGTGTCTCGAACGAGGTCTGCTGCTCCGGACCCCAAGAAAAAGTAACACCCTTCCGGGTCAACTTGGTGAGTGGCACGATGATCTTGGAGAAATCCCTGATAAATCTCCGATAATAGCCTACTAACACTAAGAAACTCCTGATCTCAGTATGTAACCTCGGCATCTCCCAACTCATCACAGCCTCAATCTTGGCTGGATCGACCAATATCGCCTGCTGGTTAACGAGATGCCCTAGGAACTGGACCTCCCGTAACCAAAAATCACACTTGAAGAATTTGGCGTAAATCCTCTCTGATCTCAGAACTCCGAGGATTTCCCTCAAATGCTCCTTATGTTGCTCTCTGGATTTCGAATATACCAAGATATCATCGATGAAAACAATTACTGATCGATCCAACATCGGCCTGCACACCCGGTTCATGAGATCCATGAACGCTGATAGTGCATTGGTGAGCCCGAATGGCATCACCACGAACTCGTAATGCCCGTAACGAGTTTTGAACGCTGTCTTTTGGATGTCCTCATCCCGAACCCTCATCTGGTGATATCCCGACCTCAAGTCTATCTTGGAGAACCAAGACGCCCCTTGCAACTCATC